ACTCCACCAAAAAACTGTTAGAATTGAAACAAATTCAGTAAAGCTTCAGGATACAAAATCAACATACAAAAAGTAGTAGCATTTCTATACATCAGTAATGGTATAGCTGAAATAGAAATCAAGGAAACAATACCATTTATAATAGGTACAAAAAATATATAATACCTAGGAATAAATCTAATCAAAGTGAAAGATCTATACAAGGAAAACTATAAAAGTCTGATGAAAGAAATAGAAGAGGACACACAAAAAAATAGATATTTCATGCTCATGGATTGGAAGAATCACATTTTCTTGCCTTTGGCTGTTTAGGTTTCCCTAAGTCTAAAGATAACATCTCCATTATGAATGTAACATAAACATTTTTCATAAATGCAGAGAAAGTTAGAGAAGTATAAACAGAACATTGCCTTCTAATACAAAACAATCATCCTTATTATCTGACAAAAGAGAGAAAAGGAAAGTCTTTATGTACCACTTCTCCAAGAAGAGGTGACCTAATTCAACCTATTTCAAGCCACTTAGGGGTAGAGATTTTAAACAGTAGCTGCGTAGTACTTAGAGGAACATGTACTTGTCAGAAGCTAATTATTCCTTTTCTCACTCTTGATTCCAGACTCCTAGAGTACAATAGGGAAACCACAATAACTCATTCTTTCAGAGTACCTTTCTGGGAGTAGCATGGAAAGATTAGGCAGATTCTATTGCACTTAATTCTCTAAACATTAAGGTAGATGCAGGATTACAGTATTGATATTCAGTCTCGAGCAAAGGATGCCATAAATGAATACAGCCAAAATGAGCTAAGTCAAAGCTGTGACGGTGACAAGCAATTGAAGTTATAGGCAGACTTAATATACATAGAATGGGTTTGTTTTCACTCCATGATTTTTTTCAATTTGTGTACATGTGCTGCTTATTAATGAATACTGGTCTATTAAACTTTAAATACATAAAACTTTTCTCCCTTTACCTTCTGAATGAATGCATGCTGAATTTAATTCATATTGATCTCAGCCTCACAGAAAAATATGAGAAAATTGTAAAGATAAATTTTTATTCCTCGAGGCTACTGTATTCCCACATCATCAGATTTTTACCGTGACTCTGTAAGATCAATGACGGTAGTTGGCTGACTAGATTCTCCTCTTTGTAAAGAAGAGGCGATGCCACTTCAGGGAGCGTGATTGAAGACGTAAGACTAAAGATAGACACGCTTCTAAATGTAGTTTTGTGAAGCAAAAAAGTGTGGATGTGCATGGAAGGGCGCTGAGGTTCTGTGTTTCTATTTTGATTTCTTCTTTCAGTAGTTGTATTCTGCCCTGATTCCACCAGGGCACAGCCTCAGTAAAAAACTACTGACTCTCCTTGTCCTCTGCTTCCTTTGACTGCCACAACAGAACAAAAGGAGAATAGAACAAATCACCATTGTCAAAGCATCCCTAATAAGTTTATATCTGTATCTATTTATCCACCTATATATTGTCTACTACCTACCTACTATCTAGATATCTAAATATTTATATCTGTACATATAGTAATAAGTCAAGGGGTATATAAACTGCTAAAATATATTGCTCTAAGAAGTATACAGTCAAAAAGTAAACCCACGGTATAATTTACATTGAATACATTCCATATAGATTTGATGTAATTACCTTTGTCAATGCCTATATATTTTTTTCTGTTACCCACAGCATCTACAACCACTACCAACCAAAGAGGGAAGAATAAAATATTGAGACCATATAAGTAAATTACTTGTAATTGATAAGGCATTTCAAGCCCTTAACTTTGCTGGAAATTAATATTAGTGAGATAAATCACTATTCCAATCAATATTCCAATCAGTTACTGGATCTATTTTATTGTATAAATCAACATTGTCCTTCAATGAGTCTCTGGCAATGTTTTAAGATATTTCAATGTATTCTAATATTTTTTGTTGGATGCATATGAAATTATTTCTGAAATTATGCATCAGTCTAAATCTTAGCTCTCCCTTCAGAGAAATGTTTCCTTGAAACTATTTCATGAAACAACAGTCTTTTATTTTCTGGAATTATAGGCCAAACCCTTGCCAAAAGCCAAAATTAGCATTACATTTTTTCCAGCCTATTCCCATATTATTTAAGTTAACATGTTCACTTTTTTTTTGCTTAGATATTTGATAGTTTTTATTTAGTTTTTAAGCAGATATCAATATCTACATCCATATTTGTATTTTTAAATAAAAGTAACCTTATATTACAAGCCTATTTTCTAATTATTCCTAATCACAGGAATAGGCAGTGTTCACGTGCGGCGGCTGGCATTTGTGGAGGGAAGTAAGAGCATGGGAAACACGTCTCCTCTTTCTGATTCTTGAAATGGCCAAACCAGTCACCCTTGCTTTTCTCAACCCTCTCATCCTTATTCTAGTAGATATTTTCTCATACAAATAATACAGAAAGATAATAACTAACTCTTAAATACAAGTAGTCAAGCTGGCTGTAAAAGAATTCATTTAAAATGTAGAATGCAATTGCCTTCGGTAAGCGATTAAAATCATTCCGGCCGCTTTGCCTTGCAGAACAGGTCTTTAACCATTATTTTCCATTGATCAAATTGCATTAGTCTAGGTTTGAAACCCGAGCGAGTAAATATTGCTATAAAAATACCCACAGTATTTCAGTTTTCTTGCAACAGAAATATTTCTTTTTGTCAAGTATTGTGTTGCTAATATGAGCAAAAGCTAAATACGAAGGGAAAACATATTTTGAATGCCTAACTACGCTGAAGGTCATACTTGGTCATTCCTTCACCAGCTATTTATTGGATGCTTATTACGTTCAAGCCCGTGGTGCTCGACAAATGTTTGCGGGATGAGTAAATGTTTTCAGCTGTGTGTGTTTCAGCCTTATTCTTCTTAGTTTCTTGCTTCCTCCAGTATCGGCCAGCTGTTAGTCAATTGCTTATAGCTGAATATTTTGTTTGAAGGATAAGATTATTCATTTTAAAACAAAAAGGAAGGAATAGGAAGACAACCGAGGAAGCTAGGGTATCTGCTGTTGTTCATCAAACACCTGCTATCTATTAATTTGATTCATCTGGCAAGCCATGCCCACGCTCGTTAATTGACCATTCATCATTAGAAAAAATATAAAAGCAAAGTATTTACACCTGGCCCCCTCTAGCCTGCACCCTCTCCAAATGGTTTCTATGTCAAGGCTTTGGCTAAACCTTAAAAATTCTGTGAGTAGGTTTACGTAGCATTTCATTTCAGAGCCTGAAGTCAGCCTCCTGCACCGATATTTAATCCTATCAAGGAAAAGGGATGCTAAGAAAGAAATGCTTTGTAAAACACAGCATGAAACAGACCTCAGCATTAGCGTTTAGCTTCTGATAATGTGCTCTGTATAATGTGTTAGTCAAGTTCTTGTGCCAAATTGGGTCCTTAGCCCTCACAGTGATTTTTGAAATAATTTTAACCATGAGTATATGAAATGATAGCTTTTCAAAAGCCACTGTAAATCTCAGAGCTCCCATGGTGGCCAGTGACAGCTGATAAATGGAAATGGAGAAAAACAAGGAATGCAAATACAAAGCAATTTGCATGACTCAGCCCACCCAAGGAAGCTGATGGAGGCACCACTTTATTATTTCAAAGTCACTTGCCTTGCAAACTGTAGATTTCTCCAACGCTGTTCTGGCGGGTGATGTGATGCCAGTACGCACTACGAGGAAGAGATATTGATTTGGATAATGTCATTTGTTCAGTCAAGCTTGTCTGAAGCTAAAAGAAAAAGAAAATGTATTTTAGGCTTTATTTAAAATATGAAACCGAAATCTGCTCTTTTAAAGTTGAGGGTTACATGTGAATGACATGATAGAATCTGTTGTTAGACACCTGCATAATCGTCTGTTTAAGGACAACTTTTTAAAAGGTAAAATCACTACTCAAAAATAGGAAATTGTAAACAATTTCATCTAACTCATTAATTAGGAAGGGAACATTAAGATGGTACAACTGATTCCAAGGAGAATTCAAATGGCTTATCGCCAATCAGGAACACTGGCAAATATCCAGGCAGTAATCAATTGCATTCCACTAGACAAATTTATTTGCATTTCTATGGAAAAGAATTATTTGCATTAACTCTCAGCTTTCAACAATTTACAGGATTGTAAAATAACTCGAAAAATGAAAGTGCAGGCTTGGTCAGAAACAGATATCTCAGAAAGGTGCCAAACACAGGATACTCATTAATCTTTTTTACCCATTTCAGTCTCTTAAAATTTTTCCTGACATCTCCTGACACCGTTACACAATGATCTGTTTTCTCAGATAGATCTGTTTGCTTGCTCCTGTGATAGGACTTCATACTGAAAAAGCGTTTCCTCTGAGAAACTCTTTGATACAATTGTGAATTTTCTTATTTGAAACATATAGTTTAAGGTTAGCTGAGGAGACCCACATGGTATCATATCACTTGCTCAGGCATATGATTAGTTCAAAGAACAAAAATAGTTTACATTGCATTTTCAAGAAAGAAATGCATTTTTATTGATAGACAACAGGGTTCAAGAAACATACAGAGGTGGTTTTATTTGGTCTTAGTGCACATTTCTCTGACACAACTTGAGAAAACATTTACCTTTTGACAAACAATGGACGATGAATCCTCTTATTAATAAAATCTCACATTTTTCCCTTATTTAATGCCTGACTCTAAGCAAAACTGGGAGTTGTAAAGATTGTCTCTGTCAGATCTAGCCTTAGAGTTCCTGTCTGCTTCCTGTGGTGTGCATTTTCCCACTGTGCCCCCAGAACCCCAATTTTTGCATCCAGCACTGGGTTTAACTCTTACTACCTCTCATAGAAGATGTTCTCAGGAAAGTACCTGATATGATTTAACAGGTCATTTAAATCTAAGAGGACATCAAACCAAGAGGTTTTTACATTTTAATGGAAAGTATAGTCAAAGAGCTTGAATATATTTATTTGATTTTACTTTTTAGTAGTGAAGCATTTCTAGAACTGCTATGTCTTGACACAAAAGTGTCATACTCATCATTTGAGGCTAGGAGTTTGAGACCAGCCTGGGCAACATAGCAAGACCCTGTCTCTAAAAAAAAAAAAAAATTGCAGGGTGTGATGGTGCACACCTGTAGCCCTAGCTACTCGGGAGGCTGAGCTGGGAGGATCACTTAAACCCAGGAGTTGGAGGTTGCAGTGAGCTGTGATCTTGCCACTTCACTCCAGTCTGGGTGACAGAGTAAGACCCTGTCTCAAAACAAACAAACAAAAAAAGGTGCCATACTCAGTCTATTTAAAAGTCTGGCATTGTTGAAGGTATTTTTTTTTTTTTTTTAAGAAGATGGCTTGGCTCCAAATAGTAACATTGCAACCAATCTATATTTTGCAAAATTTGATATTAACATATTTCAGAGTTTTCCTCCTTGTTGCCAAAATAGGTATACTGTCCACATCCACATCCCGCGGTCGGGGGGTGTGTGTGGGTGGAGTGGGGGCGTTGGCAGTGCAAAGGAGAAGACAAATTTCTGAGTTACCCCAGAGCAGCACTTTCAGAATCTTTGCTATGCTGGTTAACAACGCACCTTTCCAGTTGGGGTGGGGAACCTGTGGCCCTCCACATCCCCAAGTGAGGCCCCTCAATTGAATCCAAACTTCACAGAACAAATCCCTTTATTAAAGTCTGGAATCCATCACACACTACTGCGAGGAAATAGAGGCGAGGCTCATTGTGTGAAAGTGTTATTGGGGGAAAAGAAAGGGCTTTTGCCTTTAGAGCCTGTGTCCTATATGAGGCATAAACTTAATTAAACACATAAATCTTCAATTCATGTTAGCCATACCCATTAATAACATCAATTAATCCATAAATTCAATCTCATATTAATCACAGTTCTGTCTACTGTCTACTCTTTATCCTTTTTTCTAGTATATTATAATTTGTTTATTACTTAGCATACAATAGATTGTCAGTGATAAATTAATCTTTCCAAAATTTGATGAAAGTGCTTTTCCTTTCACTTTTTTATTCTGGGAAACATTTTTCTTCCCAAATGATCAATCTTAAGCATCATGGAAACACAGTAAACATATTTTGTTTGCTGGAAACGAATAACTGGAAACCACTGGAGACACTAATTTCCTCCCTGCAGTTCCCCTCTGAGTCGCCCCCTGTTGGTTTTCACCTCATGTTCCTCTAGTTCTCACTCATCAGTGTCGTCAAGCTCCAGGACGCTTTTAACAATATTCTATTTTTTCATTTGTTCCTTTGGTTCCTCTTTATTCTACTTCCATATTTAAATTGCTGAAACATGGAAAATTTGTCTTTAAAAATTTGATTATAGATTTTCTCAGGATCTTTGCCAAAGATACAAATCTCTTTCACCCTATCTTGGCTGTCTAAGTGTTCTCTTAGACATCGGAGACTCCATTCACCATTCGTAACTGCATGTTGGGTCCGCTACGGACTGAATTGTGCTCCCCCCACAAATTCCTAGGTTGAAGTGCTGTCCCCCAATGTGACTGTATTTGGAGAGAGGGCCTTTAAAGAGGCTAATTAAGGTTAAAGAAGGACATGAAGGTGGAACCCTAATCAAGTGGGACTGGCGTCCTTACAAGAGGAGGAGACACCAGGGATGAACGCGCACAAAGAAAAGGCCTGCAAAGACACTAGAAAGTGTCTGCAGGCTGAGGAGAGAGGCCTCGGAGGAAACCAGTCCTGCCGGCATCTTGATCTTGGACTACCAGAAGTCCAAGAACTATGAGAAAATAAATTTCTGTTGTTTAAGTCTCCCAGTCTGTGATATTTTGTTTTGGCAGCCCTAGCAAACTGATGCAAGTATTCTGTGCCATGGGCAATCTAAGATATGTTGTAGAATCTATCTGATTTATCTAGCTATTTTTAATATTATTATGAACTTTAAGCAATGTATTATAAATTAATTGACCTTTTTGATGGGCACAATGACCAAGACAGTATGACAATATTTCAAGCACTTTTATTAGAGAATTGTGTTGATTCTAATTTTAAACTCTTGATAAAATTTCCTTTACTGAGAGGTTTTAAAAAGAGAACATACATCCTTAACTATTTTTAACTAAAAATTATCCTTAATTATTTTCACATTATAATACTTTAATTAAAAGCATTATGATAAAAAATAAAGCTTAAAATGCTATAGTAATTTTCTTTTTTGTTGTTTTACTTTCTAAATTCTTAGATCCAACACAGCTCAAGTGATTTCTTAATTGAAAGAACAATGCATCAATTTGACTTGGAGGATTTTTTAGGACCATAAAATTGTGAATATGTTAAAAAAAAAAAAAGGCAATTTATATTTATATTGCAAATAAATATCTATTACATTGTAAGATAATTTCTAAGCAATGACTGCATTTTAAAAAATTAAACATGATGGATACACTTCTTCAAGGTTCTTTTGTTCCTTCTTTGTGAGGATCTGCTACGTGGATTTTTTTGGTGGCCTTGGTAAAAAATTTCTCAAGAAGCTAAAAATTCTGCAACCCCTTGCGCCAGGACTCCCTCAGTATTGAACTACATTCTCTTTCCTGGAGACAACACTCCTCTCCTCCTTTTGTGCAGGGTTGGGATTAGGAAAGGATGCTTCAGCACAGATGCAGAAATCAACTGGACACGGAGGCAGTTCATTCAGTTGATACCCTCACTGTGGCTTTTTGCCATTTGGGGCTCTAACCCTCTCCTGATCCCATTCTGCTGAAACAGCAGTCAGTTCTCTGGGATACGAGCAATGAATCGGAAACCACTTATTTAACATCTGGAAAGAGGAGCAGTCACAGCCCAAACAAGTCTGGAGAGTAGTTGACGCATTTGAGTTCTTCTGGAGAGCTGCATGCAACTGACACATCTCAAAAAGCCACAGCCCAGCAGAATGATTTAGGCCCAAAGTGTGCCACATGGAGATTAAATTACTATCTTTAGTTGAGTATGACACAGATTAGGGTGATGCTGTCCTCACGCTGATGAGAAAGGAAAACCAAAAGAAAAGAACCTTATATTTAGAGCAGCGGTCCCCATCCTTTATGGCACCAGGTACGGGTTTCATGGAAGACAATTTTTCCGCAGATGGGGTGGGGGATGGTTACAGGATGATTCAAGAGCATTACATTTATTGTGGGGTCAAACCTCTCTGCTAGCGATAATCTGTGTTTGCAGCTGCTCCCCAGCGCTAGCATCACCGCCTCAGCTCCACCGCAGATCACCAGGCATTAGATAAGGAGCGTGACCTAGATCCTCCACGTGCACAGTGTACAGTAGGGTTTGTGCTGCTATGAGAATCTAATGTCACCGCTGATCTGACAGGAAGCGGAGCTTATGTGGCAATGTGAGCGATGGGGAGCAGCCGTAAATACAGATGAAGCTTTGCTGGCTCGCCTGCCGCTCAGCTGCTGTGTGGCCTGGTTCCTGGTACTGGTCCGTGGCTGGGCGTTGGGGACCACAGATTTAGAGGACTCTCATTGAGATATAAACAAGGGCGACTGCTCTTGCTCTCTCCCATTTAGCCAATAATATTTTTTATTTGTAAACATTTGAGATTTCCAGCTGATAGATTCCAACCTCCATCTCTCTCCTCCCCTAAACTTTGGAAGACTCTTTTGAACACATCTGGTTGAAAGGGTCATTTTTAGGAAACGTTTTCTTCCCGGGTTACTCTGGTTTTGCATTTCTTGTGAGAACTTTGGCTCCTTACTATCTTTTCAAGTATGTTTGTGTAGCAAAC